ACAGTACTGAAGTGACCTTGAGAGCCTCATTCAGGGGCAGGTCAGTTACAGAACATCACAATGCCGCCTCTTCATATAAGGCCCAGTCCTCACTCCCCAGCATATGCCTGTCTTCAAGAGACAGAGATCAAAGAGGAAAATTTGTAGTTTGATGCAGATTTTTCTTCAGAGACACGTGGGATCTGAATCTACCAGTGTTAAGTGATCATGTTGGGAGACTACAAGGGCTAACACAATTCATTGTAATTATCATTTATAATGTATACTCGTAATCATATTGCTTCTAGAATACCTTTATTATCTTTCACTTTTGAAGTGCTTGTGTTTCCCAGCAGACTTGGGAAGGGGCTTTTATTAGGCCCATCAATCCAAACCTTTTAAGGTGAGGGTGTTGCTACCTCAGAAGCCAAAGAGGCACTTGCTAGCCTGGAAAGAAAGCACTAAATAGTCATTAGCTCCTTCACTCTGTTTACCAGCCCGCCTGTCATTGAGGTTAGACTGGCCTCAGAATTAACACTCTGCTCTATTTGTCCATCGTTGTCTCTCAGAATGTGTTCTCAAGCGGCCGCACGCGCGCAGGGCTTGTTCCACGCCAGACCTGAGTTCCCGGGGAAGAGATACCTAAATTAAATTTGGTTTATTCAGTTTCATTTGAAATTAAGTCTGGGTTTAAAAGAAAGCCCCACTCAAACCTTTTCAAAGCAAGTATCCATCATCGGCACTAACTGGTCTCAGAAATCCTGATTCGGGGGATTTTATCACCGCAGTTACTCCATACTCAGGATGGTTTCTCCTCACCTCCTGTGCTCCTTTCACAGGAGCGAGGATGCTGCAAGCAGCCTGCTCTCCCCACCCCTACATCGAGCCCTCTCTCTCTCCCATGTCTGGCCCTCCTCTTCCTGCCTCAGCCTCATCTCACTTGTCCCCTGGGCTCTTGGGTCTTGTCTTCCTTAGGAACCTCTCTGTAGAAGCCCTTGTCCCTGGTCGGGCGACTGGCCCATGCATCTTGACCTGTCAGTGTTAAGACCCGATGGAGCCCACAGAGACGGCTCACCAGTGACCAGGGGCAGAGCAGCTGTATCAACTCAGCTTGGGGAAGCTCAAGTATCCAGTGATCTTGGCTGTGTGGAGTTTGAAATTAAGCCCAACATATTACTCACGGCAAAGCCAGGGGCAGCCAAGTTAAATAGAGCGCTCCCCAAAACATTCACGACTGAGTGGAGAAGGAAGCTCCAACCTGAAGAGAGGCTGTTTTATGCCTGCTTTTATTTTTTTAAACCACACGCTTTCCACAAGTGAGATGGGAAAAGTAGGATATTTATTACTCAAAGAACAATATTTATTACTTTAAAAAAGCAAAAATGCTTGGGCCTATGACCATATGCCATGTCCCTGTAACTCCGTAAGCTTGGCCACAATTGTAATGAGATCTCCTTTTGTCTAGAAACTGTGCTAAGGCATGTTCCAAACATGTTCTCATTCAGTCTTGATAACTCTATGACATGGGTACTGTTGCTACCCCACTTTGGCCTTGTGGAAGTTCGGGCAGACTGCTCTTAACTGACGGAGCTGGAATTGGAGCCCTGGCAGTCTGCTGCCATTTTGGTAGCTGTCTGCAAAAAGATGCAGGTACCCAGGAGCTTCGACGAAGAGAACACCTCTAGAGAAAGCCAGGATGCCACCCCGCGAGTCTGTGAGTGGTTTGTTTTTGAGGGAAGTTGGAAGGCTCGAGTTCAATAAACCAAGCAGGGCTTGAGCCTGCAGATTATTTTCCAACCAGGGGGAGTTCATTAAGTTGGAGGAAGAAAGAGGATCATTTAATGGACATAGAAAATGTTTTTATTTTCACCGATTTTTTTCCCCTAGCAGAACAGTCCAATCTTTCCAGGCCATGGTTCAGGCCTTCTGCCGGCCTTCCTACCTGGGATTGTTTCAAGAGGCCTGGGTCCCCTACTGGCCAGACCTTGCCCCTTTGCTGGATCAGGGCACATGCACAGCCCTTTGTAGGCACTCGTCCACACAGACATGTTTATTCGAGCACTGAGAATCTCGCTTCTCAAAAAGCCCCGGGAATTAGATTGTTTGTTTTCCACACTGAAAGTTTTCATTTGAAAAATAACCCTCTTTGTTTAGCTAATGAAAAGGAGGGGCTGCTGCTCTCTTCTCAGGCTGGGTAAGAATTCCATGGGCAGTAATTCTGTTGCTCAGTGGAAAATGTTTCGGTGTCTTGATGTTGTTTTGCAGACTGGCCCCTGCCTGGCCCTCACTCCAAGGACCACACATACACACATGTGCATGCTCGCCCCTACACAGTGCAACACTTCTCACCCTTCCCTGTTGGGGGCTGGGGAGGGCCACATCCTCTTTCCTGCACCTGCAGAACAAAAACGAGGTGGGTCCGTGGCTGACACCCCGCCAGAGGCATCCCTGCCTGTTTGGGAACAGAACGCTCTCCTGGGCCGAGCTCTCAACCCAGGAGACTGGGTGGGCCACAGAGGAAGGAAATTGGACTCTAAACGTCTCTTGTTTCTGTGCATCTCCATGTCAAGCAATCCTCTCACACCACAGAGGGGGTGGTCTGTAACATTCCCTCCTCATTAGGTTAGTCTGAAATGGCGATAAACACAGTGCTGTCATCGTTGGCCTTACAGCATGGCCGGCATGGTGCTGAGTGGTCTGGATTGTGCAAACCCTAGCAAAACGTGGCCCCAGAGGCAACTTAGTGGAGGGAGAGAACACGTGGATGCTCAGACCAAACAGATCTTCTCTGTCACTGAGCATCTCAGTCCACGGGCAAGTGGGTGGCAGCTGAGCCACTCTGAGCCTGTGCCCTCAACTGTGGACGAGGGGAGTTATTTATCTCCTGGGAATGTACAGTGCCATGGATGGTGTTCATCACATTTTGAATGTCCAAGGAACTTTGATCTTCTCCCCTCTTTTGTTCTCTGAAAACTGCCCACGTCCTGTCTAGCTGGGGAGACAAACCCCATTCCTGTGAAATAAGCTACAAACAATTGAGCTCTGTCCCAGCAGAGGTGAGCACAGAGCAGGGTGCCCTCGCCAAGGTCCCTGGCAGAGTCAGCAGGGGCTGTTGAGGGGGTGCTGAATACACTCTGGACTTGAGGATCTGTCACCACCAGTGGGACTGTTCAGTTTGTTATCCAGGGAATCTGAAGAATACCTTCTGTCCAGATCCTGGTATAGGAAAGATACATCTGCCCTGAGAGACGTGGCTGAAACGCAGTTCTGCTTAAAGGCGAGCAAAAGAAATGGGCAAGATGACTGCTATGTAAAAATAGAAATTTAGAAGTCCCATATGCATAAAATATAAAGAGACAGCATGGGGTAAATGAATAGATTTGAAAGGAGATGTAGTATGAAACCAGTGTATTAGTCAGACCGCTTTGGGTTTTAAATGATGGAAACCCTCTTCTAACATTACCTTAAACAAATAAATAAAGAAGGAATTTATTGGTTCATATTACTAAGACGTTCTGGGTTAGATCTTCAGCTGGGGCTGAATACACAGTTATGTCAGGGCAAGCTCGTTTGTTCTCTCTCGCTCTCTCTCACCATCTCTTCATTTTGTCTGATAGTCTCATTCTCTCCTCTTTGTGATTAACTTCTTACTCTCACCTTAGCAGTGCTGCAGAGAAATTCTCTTTCTCAACATCTGTATATATCAAAGCCAGGGAAGACTCTAAATGACCCAGCCCTGAACCTGTCATTGGCTAGAAAATAAGGTACTATATCTTGCAAAAGTCAACCAAAATGTTTGTGGAGTGCCTGCTCTGTGCTAGGCATTCATCCAGCCACTGGGGACCCAGCAGTGAGTGGGAGAGACAATGCTCTCCCCCCAGGGAGCTGACAGTCTTGGAAGAGGCCAGCGTTTGAGCTGAATGCTGCTGCCTCCTGCTGCTCTGCATCCGGAACCAAACAGGAGAGAGTCCTCTCTCCTCACAAAGAAGCTAATTCCTTTGCAAAATTAACAGAAAGTCACCAAGTACAATTATATGTGCTGAAGGCTCTCACATATCAGACAAGCATACATGTCTCTCCACATTCCGACCAGCAGGGCAGCCTCAGTAGAAATGGTGCCTCCTGGAGGTGTGCAGCAGGCAGTACCGCCAGTCAGAATGGCTTAGCTTCTGAGGACACATCATGGCTTTGGGGTTTCCTGCAGAAAACTCTCACAGGGAGATACATATATATTTAAGAGGAAAGAATATATATTTCAAGGGGGGGAATATAATATATGGGGGAAATCATATATATATATAAAATATCATTACTCTCTGATCAGAAGAAGGTGTGATGCTCTGTAATCAACAGCAGGAAATGGAATCAACCCCATACCCTCTTGGAGTGCCTTGTAAAGGGTACTGTGATTTTAGGCTGGGGAGAAAAAAAATGGCTTCTCAAAATGTCTGTGTGCGGAGAAACCAGTAGATTTGTGTTTCTTGATGACTTAGATGTGCGATGGGGTAGGAGGGGGGACTGACCAAATGTGATTTATTCAATATGTATCGAGTACCTACTATGTGCCGACCCCTGGATATATGACGACAAATAACCCAGCATCTCTGCTTCATGGATAAAATGACAAGCACAGGGACCTCCGTCTGAACTGACCACACTCTTGTGGGTACGTGTCTAAGGGAAAGATGCCACACACACACTATCATGTGTCTGAGACACACGGTGGGTGTTAGTGCTTATGGTGGAAATGGATAGTTTTCCCCTCACCTCAGAGTGGCTGCCTGGAGCCCCAGCAAGGAAGCTTGGCTGGAAGCCGGGAGGTTTGGGAGAAAGGTGAAGGCAGGCTTTCATGTCAGGCCTCGGAGCCATCTGAGGCCACCGCTTGTAAGCACGCTTAACCTCTGCAGGCCCAGAGCGCTGTGCGACAAGTCTCCCCAGGGCCTGTGGACAATCATTACTTTTATTATGCTTCTTACTGTCAGGTCCTCCGGAATCCTCATGGACTGCTCTTATGACTTCAGGTTGTCCCAAAAGAGAACTCGAGAATCGGTGATGAGCACAGTGGGAGACGGAGCCGGCTGCCTATCTCAAAAGGGCACATCACCATAATCACGGCTACACGGTGAGCATATGCAGAAGGAATGAACAGGGGTGTTTGTGTCAGGAGCAGCCAAGAGGACACAGAAACCAGGGGTCCCCTCCCTGCAAGCCTCCCCCTTCCACCACCAAACAGTGCCCCTGTCTTCCCCCTGACCCTGCAGGGCCCCCTCCCCCAGTAGCCACCTTTGCTGTGATTCCACTGAGTTCACCCTGGGTCTCCCCTGGGCTGGCTGTTGCCTTCATATTTCATGCGGAATGTGCAGCTTCCCAGGAGCCCGAGGCATGCCCTGCATTCTGATGCCTCGGCGGCTCTGACACCAGCCAGCTCCAGAGCATGTCTAATGAGGAGGCCGACACAGAGGCAGAGGAGTCAGCCGGGCTGCGGCGCAGGCCGCGCACTTGGAGTGGGGCGGCAGGAGGGCAGGGGGCGGGCGAGGAGGGCGGCCACTCTTCCATCACCAGATCCTGCAAACCCGGGCCCATTTAAATGACACCAGGAATTGGATGAGAGCCACGTGAGGAGCAATTCAGAGCGGGGAACATGCTGGGGAAAAGCATAAAGTTAAAAGAGAACGGAGAGACTGCAGAGACAGAGGAGGTGGACGCTCTGCCCTCGCACGTTTCAGTAGGCAGGGCAACTGCCCGTTTCCATGTTCCTTCCAATGTCGGGCTTCTTCAGGCTTCCTTAGAGACCACTTCGTTATCTAAAAGATCCTGCTGAACTGAAGTTTTTCCTTTCTCTAAAGTCTCATCTACCTTAATTTCCCGCATTACTCCTCATTTTGACTGGCTCTATCAGGATAAATAGACCCTGGCTTCCCCTGGGATTTAGGGCGTTTACACTTGGGGGCAGAGCCAGTGCCTTCCCTGAGGCTTTTCTTCTTCTCTTTACAATCTCCAGCTTTTTGCCAGACTCTTCTGTCCTAGCGGTGTCTTTGTCAGTGCCTGGAAGGGTGGCACTCTGCCAGCTGGGCTCCGAGGACCCACTGTCTCAGCCCAAGACTCTCCTTCTCCGCCTTGTCAGCCCACTTGAGGGCACACCAGGTGTGCAGAGCTCGGCTCACGTTGACCACAGAGTCTGCCAATCCCCCTCGGACTCCATCACACAGATTTGCTCTTGTACCTGGACTCCTCCATCCAGTAAGATGCTATTCGATTCCTTTTCCAGAGCATCAGTGAAACAGCCCTGGCCAGAGAGATCCTTTTGGCACGTTGCTGAAAACTTCCTGTCCAAGTCAGAGGCAACGTCACCTATTTGTGGGTTGTTTCGTTACTTTCCAATTCCCATTACAACAGACCCCTTTCTAATCTTCGTATCAAATCCATCACAAAATGAAGGGAGAGTACTTTGAAGCCACCTCCTTTGCTAATCCTGAAGCTGAAATGTTAGAAGATACCCCGTTTGTTTGGCAAGCTCAGTTTTTCATAAACACACTGTGTTAACTTCTCATCATCCTGTTGTCTTGCTCACTGAGCCTTTCTCTCTTAAGATTTGTTCCATTTTCTTGCAAAATATTGAAATTCCCAGTTCTGTATTTTCCCTGGATTATTTCCAAGGAGATAATGCTTTCCTATTTTGGAAATTGGTCCCACATGTCTTCTTTGAATACTTCTGATAAATCCCCCTGATCATGATTCATAGTTTTCAGTACTTTAATAAGTGGGCTTTTTAAGCAATTGTTTCAATCAGTTTTCTAATTTGGGCTTTGGGGAGGGCGATTCCTTCCAATCTACGGATCCGTACTCTTTCCAAGGGCAACCTTTCCTGGGTAGGCTTCCTTGGTTGACATCAAAGAACTAAAGTAGGGCCAAAAGAAATCTGAAAGTGGAAATAGGGTAAAACAAGTGGCAGGCTTAGGAGGAGAAAAAATAGCCAACTCTGTTTTCCCAAATTCTTTGGGAATTCCCCAAATATGAGAAAGGGGAAGTAGGAGGGCGTTCAGAATGGAAAACACTGAGGAGCAGGGAGGAGAAAGAGACAACGTAGGATAAGGGGACGTGAAATGCCTCGGTGTGTGAAACTGAGGGAACCTGCCAGCCCAAGCAACATCCGTGGAGTGAGTTCAGGCCCTAATCCTTCCAGGACAAGTTCTGGAATCTCTGGAAAGCGGTGGAATCCCTGGTGTATTTGACATGCAGCATAGGGCACTGTTTCTCAGCCTCTCGTCTCTGTTACAATATTGATATTCAGGAATCAGCATTTAGTATTCAATAGTAATTGTTTCTATTTCTCATTTAGTTTTAAACTAACAATTAGCAATTTAAAAAGAGGAAATTTTAAAGATCAATTTTAAAGATATTAATCAGTCAGCAGAATATCTCACATGTGCACTAAAATGTACACATAGTAAACAAAAAAATTATAGCTCAGAGTGTGCACTTCATTTCACTGTCTTGAATTGTTAAAACAAAAACTCTGAGAGGTCACATAAAATAACAGAATTGTGTTGTTTCGTACTTACCATCTTGTACTATTGCTGTTTTTTTTCATCTACTGTTTGAATGCAGGGATATGTTTCATCATAGGAGTTGAAGACATAAACTACACACAGTGTGAATTCAAAATAGCCCTAATTCCAAGAATTTACTCCCAAAAGGAACATGAATATGTGTCTGCCTGTATTGGAGACTGTATGGATGAAAATTTCTGAATTGACTCCCATGTAAAATGCAAAAATTATTAAATGGTAAGTAATAAAAATGTGTTTATACATATTATATATATATGACTAAAACTCAACAGTAACTTAGACCAACAAAAAGATTTTTGGGGGGTGGGAGGAGGAATATTTTATATTGGCACTTTTTAGAATCAATGTGCATGGTGAAAATAAAAGGCTGGCCAACATCACACCTGTAGTCAGGGCGTTCTGCTCCCGCTACCCTCGGGCCGCTGCTGGACCATCACGGGGGTGCTAAGCAGGAGTACGTACTCAGGCATGCCCAGAAGTGCGCTTCCTGCAAGCAAGGAAGAATCAGGGTCTGAAATAAGAGTGTATGTTGTTTGAGGGGAGAAATTACGTATGGTTATTCCATTTCACACATTTAGGCTTTAATCTCTTCAGTGATGTGAATATCTTCAGGGTGCTGTCATCAAGAGTCACTGGAAGGCCCAGAGCCTGTACTGCCCCCCTCCTCTAACTGCCCCCCTGGATGTAGCACACGGCCTGGTTCACTGTAAATGTTCTCTGTAAATGTCCACTGATAGAGAGATTTCTCTAATCAATATCTTCACCAGTTTAAAAGCAACTCATCCTCTCTGCTGTGTGAACTCATGAATCACACCCTTCTCCTCTTGCATTTATTACCTACACCAGTGGGCTTGTTTTCCCTACCACGGTTATGTAAGAGTCTTGACTCTCTGCAAACCTCTTAGCTCACCTTCACTGCCTCGGAAGACCAACACTGGGGAAGCAAGAAAGAAGACAGGAAGTGGGAAGAAAACCCCCAAAGACTTCAGTGCGTTGGCTCCACCTGTGATCACGCACAGATGCAGATTCTTAGACCTACAGGCCTGGTGAGGTTCTTGCTATCTTTACAAAACGGAAGAGACACATCCAGAGAGGTGTCCCAGGGCCCAGGTGGGAGTGTGGAAGAGGTGGGGTCGGGGGAGGCTGGAAGATGCAGTCCTCTGGAAACTTTGCAGGCCCTTGTCTGCCTTCCTTGGGGGGAGATTCAGCTCTGTGAGTTGGAGCAGTTCCCCCTGCCCACCTCCAGACCCCGCAGTTTAGTTCTTCATTAAAAGAAGGTCCATAGAGGGACTTAAACACAAAACTCCCCATAATGGTGAATATTCAGAATTACTTTCCACCTGATACTGCTTCATTTAATTGGACTAAAGCAGGCTCCCCTGGCTCTAGGCTCCCTTGAAATCCTGCCCAAATTTGCCTGGCTCCTGCGTGGGCCTGGGTAAATATGAGGCAGGTGCACCGAGGGGCTGCGAGCTGGGATCCCATGAACTGTAATGGTTGCTGCATGACTGATTCCCCAACTCCTCCGCCCTCCCGCTAAATCCCATGACCCTCCCTGCTTATGCAAAGAGCAGACTCCCCGGTGCCGTCTTATGAAGAAGTGGTAGAGCAATTTCATTTAATATTGCTAGTGCTTCCATTAACCTGACTATATTGCTCTCCATCCTCAATTTAAGACTCCCTCTTTCTCTTGATTATCGCTGTATTTCAGAGCACCTGAATGTCCTCCCCAGGCCCCTAAGCCAGCCTGGAATAAGTTGATGATCGAAGCTCTGGTTCCTTGAGGTTTCTGGCTGTAGAGTAGTGCAGCCTTGCCGGGCCCCACCCGCAGTCTTAGAAACCAGCCCGGGGGTCTCCATTTTGCTCAGAATGGGGCTCCCTCTAGTGGCTCTGATGGTCCCTGTATTCACTCTCCGGCCTCTATTTCCCTCCCTTCCTTTCCTTTTTTTTTTTCATTCATCACTTTTTTCTTTTTATCATTAAGATTTGTGGGATAAGAAAATATTTTTGAGTTTTGTTGGAGGTGGGTAGGTAGAAGTGTTTTACAAACTATTTTGACTCTATATGATTGATTGGTTGATTGATTGAATTGTTAATAAGTATGTATGAAGTGCCTACTATGTGCCAGGCACATAGGTAGGTAGGTGCTGGGGATGAATTGTGAGCCAAACTGCTAAATGTTCTGTTTTCATGATGCTTAAATTGTAGCAGAAAGAGACAGAGATAAAAAGTTAAAAAAAAAGTTATAGCAGATGATGATAAATAGTATGAAGAAAGATAAAGCAGGGAAAGGGGCCAGAGAGTGATGGGGAGCCCCCCATAAGTGCTCTTGTGTATATACATGCTCCTTTGAATGACAGAGGCCTCTCTCCATCTAAATTCTGCAATAAGGGTGATGGTGGGGGTGAGCTGAGAACACTCTTCCTGGGGAGAGTAGAACTGGCAGCGCACCGGAGCAGACTCTCCCCTGCCCATGGCTTGCGTCCCTGCCGTGGCTTGCAGGAAGCTGCCCAGGAAGAAGCACAACCCCAGGCTTTCCCCGGAGTGCAGCCCTGGGAGCATGAAGCATTGATATGACTACAGGAAGCAAAAAGGTGGCGCACTCTGCTCCATCCTGTCCCTGCGTCAGAACCCTCATTCCATCACCACTTGCCTGCCAAGCTCCAGGTAAAGGCTGTTGCCCCGACCCCTTGCATCCTCTGGGCAGCCTAGGATTGAATGAAAGTTGGCTTCTTGAACCTGTGATAAGTGGGATGAAGCCTGCTGCTGCATTCCTCCAGGCCCCTAGTGCCTTCAGGGAGTGATCCATTGCCTCTCTCAAGGAGAGCATAGTTCTCTGGCCTCAGCAGAGAATAGGAACCATGGAGTCATATGATCGGAGGAGAGGATGATCCTCTAAGAAAAAGAGGCTAAGACGAGGGGGAGAAGAATTATATTCCTTCCATGAAGATGGGGTTCTAGCCCTCAGTATACAGCTAAGGGGGGATAGAGGGAAAGCTTTAGAGTTGGTCAGACTTGGGTTTGGATCCTGCACCCACAGGTCTCTAGCTGTCTGGTTTTGGATCATTTACTAACCTTCTCTGAGCCATAATGTCCTCGCTGGTAGATTGGGCCAATTACACCTATTCACAGGCATCTATATTAAAAGAAAAATATAAATGGACAATTCTGGGCATGGGAAAAGAGGCTGGCACTGAGTTGATGACCATAAGTGTCATTTTCTGGGGTTTTTTTTTTTTTGTTGTTGTTTTTTTTGAGAATAGAAAAGGCTTTTTTCTTAGAGGTACGCTGCCATAGACAACAGCAGGCCACCCAGACGAGAGGTGCCTGTTGAGCCTCATTTCCTGGGATTTTACTTAAGTATTAAGATGTCCTTATTTTTTGAAGACTGAGGAATTTTAGGGGTGAAATAGCATATCTATAGTTTACTTTTAAATTTCAAAAAAAAAATATTGTGAAGTAAATATGGTACCTTTTCCTCTTTGGAGAACCTCTACCCAGCACAACACTTACCCATATGTATTCAAAACCTAGGTAACATCATTCATTGTCTTGGTTTAAAAAACCATCAACTTGCCAACAACACTCTATTTATATCTTCCAAGCCAGACCTCTCTTAGGAACTTCAGACTCAAATATTCAACTGCCAATTTGACGTCTAAAAGCCAGCGTGTCCCAAATGGAATCCTTGATTCCCCATCCCAGTCCGACCCTAACATCCTGTTCCCTGCCCCAGCCCCACCCCACGTTTTCCATCTCTGGAAAGAGCACCACCTTTCACCCAGATGCTTGAGCCAGAAACCTTCAAGATAGTCCTGATCCCTCTCCTCCCTCACTCCTCACAGCCAATCCATCAGCATTCCCTGCTGATCTGACCCTAAAGATTTCCCTGATCCACCCCCTTCCCACCACCTCCACTGCCACTTTTATCTGGACCACAACAACAGCCTATGAAATTAATCTCCCTTGTCATCCATTCCCTGTGTAGCCAGCACCATCTTTTTAAAGCACAAACCACATCACGTCACTTGCCTGCTTAAAACTATCAGTAACTTCCCTGGCATGTCCAGTTAAATCCAAACACCTCCCCTCAGCCCATAAGACCAGGTGTGGTTCTTGTCTCCTTTCCCACCTTCCTCACCCTCCTCCCCTTCTCCATCCCTCTGTCTTCCTCACTGCACTCCAGACAATGCAGCCTCCTCTCCATTTCTCTGACAAGCCAGTCTCCTTCCCCTTCTGGGCTTTCCACTAGGCTGTTTCCTCCAGCTTGAATTCTCTACCCCCTCTTCTTCCCACATCTTTTCCTTCTCAGCCTTCAGGTCTCAACCTACATTTTACTTCTCTGAGTACCCTTCTGTGACACCCCGCATCTCAAATAGGCCCCTCAGTCATTCTCATAGTGCACTGATCTGTTAACCTTCAGAGAGGCAAGAATCATCTGTTTACCTGTGGATAGCCAATGTTTCCCATAGAGCTCATGAAATATTTAGCCTATAAATGAATGAACCAATTAAAAAGTCCACTGCCCTTATTCCAAATCCCCATCTCTGGGCCCCATACCCTGATTCTCAGCCACAGGTACCAGGCCATTACTTTTGCCAGCCCTCTTGTGGCCACAGAGGCCCCTCTTGGTGAGACCCACAAGCTTCCATCTCTGCCTGTCACTGCACCAACCTTCCAGTTGCTCCACCAGCATCCCAGTGCCCTTGAAAGGCAGGTTGGCTGATCTGGGGCATGGAGGATACCTTTGTTCCAACCCAAGGTTCTGCCTGCTTGTGCCTGTATGAATCGTACGTGTTTCATACGCCATCTCTTACTCTCTTGCAACAACAGCTGCCTCTAGGTTGCCCATCCAACAATTCTTGTGAAATAGGACGATGCCAATGTTGACAGCAGACCGCAGGCCATTCCTTACTTGTGTTGGGCCCCGTGAGAGGCCTTCTCCTTGCACTTTTGGAGGTAGTCTCCTGCTGTTGCTGAGGTCAGCATTCAGACCAGCTTTGAACGTGGAAGCCTCGCCCATCCCAGGGCGACTCTGGCTTTCTTATCAGACTCTGCCCTAATGGGAAGTGAATGCTGCAATCGTGGGGCACACTCAGAGGTCACAATTACGTAAGGATTATTAATGAAGCAACAATGTCAAAATTGTGTGAAATCAAACTCAGATTTAAGTACTTAAAATAAACAGATATAAAGTAACAGATGTCCCGTTTTGTTCTCAGATGATTTCATCCCTTGTTAAAAATAAATGTCTGGCTTGAAATGGAGAAAAAAATAAAAGGGAACTTTACTTCCATGTTAAAAATTAATTGAATCCAGAGTTTGGTAAAGCAACCAAGTGGTGTGGGTTTTTTTCTTAAGGCAAAGACGTACTTGTGTTGATTTTTATTTCAGCGAGTAATAAATTCACTGCACAGCCCCAACTTTGATAGACCAAACTCACGTCCTTTGAAACCCAAAGGGAAAATTTCTCCATAGTTATTATGTAGATAAGAATGGGGCCCTGTGTATCCTTCTGAGGAGAATTTAGTTCCATGCTGAACCCCAGTGGAGGCAACAGCAGAGTCTTCGAAATTTGCAGGTCCTGATTGTCATTCTTGCACCATCAGAATCCCACTGAGGTGATCTTGCCTTGGAATTTCAGTGTGGAATTCCCAGAGAAGACTCCTACTGAAATTAGTAATGGGAAAGGCAAATTAGGTCATCTTGTCCGTCCCCCTGCCAGCTTCCTACACTGTGGTTAATTTTCTCCTCCTTTGATCAGATACATTTTAAATGTTTCAAGAGATGGAAATTGCACCAGTTGGCTCCCTCTAGAGTTCCACAGTCTACTGAAGCTACGGGCCTCGATTTTCTGCGTATGAGACTCGGTGGGAATTTTTCCAGGAGTGGAAGGCTATTTGTGGGCTGGGGGCTGCCTTTACCTCCCCCAAATGTCTCCTCATTGTTCTGGTTGAGGCCCAATTCGGAGGGATTAGAAAGCCAGAGGAATGTTCATCTGTCCAAAATCACAAAATGGCCCCGGGAACATTCAAAGGAAATAATTTATTTGTAGATTCTGAGTATAAACACCAGGGGATTGATATTGATGCCCTTGAATAAAAGATGGAGCAGCTCATAGTCCTGATGCTGGCTCTCTGTGCGAGAGAGTTACATGTAGCAACGTTTATTGGCAGGGATAAATAATCCAGATAAGAAACCACATGTTTTTCAGGCAGAAAATACATATGTTACCAAGCTGTTCTTCACTTTGAAAAGTCAAAATACTTTATATTTTTGAATCAATTAAAATGTCATTGCCCTTATTTCAAATCCTCATCTCTGAACCCCACACCTGAAAAAAAAAAACCAACATTAGATTAGCAGTGAAGAGTAAAGGATGGGATAGTGGTGATGGTTGCACAACATCGTCAGTCTGCTTAATGGCACTGAATTGTATGTTTGAAAATGGCTGAAATGGTTTAAAAGAAAAAAAGAGGAGGATAAAAAAAATGAAGCCATTACAACCGTGTCAGAGGTAAGCAAGGGACACTATATGCAGTGGGTAGGGTGGATAGCCATGGTGGAAAGGGTGGCGTCTGGTTTTGCTCAGACTTGCTTCACTTCTTTGCGCTTTACTCTGAAGCTTCTCTATAGACAGAGGGTGGGACAAGATGTCCCCAAGTCTCCCCAGCCCCACACATGCCCGTTTTGTGGCAGACACTGGTGTTGCCAACTCCCCATTCGTTCTCCTTTCCTTCTGACTAACAGAAAATGGATTCAGATTTTGAGTGTTGCTTTGCTCAACCGTTAAATAAAAACTGAAAGCTCACTTCCCACCTTCCTTGCAGTTGGAGGCTGGCCGTGTGACTCGATTCTGACCAGTGAGATGTAGGCAGCATCCTGGGGAGGTGCCACCTTGCCTCTGTGCCCTTTTGTCTTTCTCCTTCTACCTTTTGCTCCTCTATGGTTGTGAAGCCTGAAGGAGCAGCAGCAAAGATGATATAGGGATAATGCAGAAAGAGCGAAGGCAGGTGGTGACATTACAGAGCTGACATACCAGGCCTTATAGGGGCTGAAGATTCTCCCTTTACAGGTTCTTTTGACTGGTCTTATAATTAAATTGATGTAAAATAGATCAACAGGAGAAAAACAAATTTAATTTCATATGTACAGGTGTCCCAAAGATATAAGACTCAAGGACAAGTTGGGCAGTCGAGCTTTTGTGCTGTCTGAATGGGAGAGGGGCCGAGGCTTCGAAGGGGAGGAGGGCGAGTTGCAGGACAGTGAGAAGAGCTAATGTGGGGTAGTTAGAAGTTTGCCGTGCCATGCAGATAGGTCTTTCAGATAAAAACATTATCTCTGGTAATCGTCCTTTTTTTGTTTCGGCCCCTATCTAAACTCTTTTAGGTAGTTAAGGGAGAGGTAAACATTTTTCCTGAGACTGCTAGGTCTTGATTGCCTTCAGTTCAGAATAATCCACATGACAAAGTGGCGTATTTTGGTGTGGCATGTTCTCCTCCCTGGACAGTTAAATCAGCAGTGTGTGTGTGTGTGTGTGTGTGTGTGTGTGTGTGTGTGTGTGTGTGTGTGTGTGTGTGTGTGTGTGTGTGTGTGTGTGTGTGTGTGTGTGTGTTCCTGAAATGAGTAAACACCTTCACTTGTTTCAGCCAGGACAGTATGGCTTTCTGTTACCATCAAATGCCTTCTTAACTGACATAAGCTCTATGTTATGTCATTTGAAATTCCGCATTACTCATTCTGTTGAACGAAGTGCTGAAGGCCAGTGTTAAAATACAAATACTCTCTGAGAGGGGAACATTTTCAGTTATAACAAACCATTGACATCTTGCTCCAAGTGAGTTCATCAAAATAGCTATCTGGTCCAATAGTAGGGACCTAACGGAATAGGCGAGGGTTTTGCTGGGAGGGAGGGGACTTTGTCCCCACTGAGTCACTACAAAGACGGAGTCCTGGGGTCTGTGGGTTGCGGGTCTTGGGGAAGATGGACAGTGCTTGAGGAAAGATGGAGAATAATTGGAAAGGATGTGGAAAAGACGAAGTTTGTCCTGGAATTCATTTCTTGTGGAGGGTGCTTCAGTCCTGAGCAACAACAGAAGTCGTTGGGGGTCCACAGAAACTGGTCTCAGACATTTAGAAGGGAGAAGGGAAAGCTGCGTAAAAATTACCCTGAGAGTTTAGACTTTAAAAAGAGATGCCACTGATCACAGTTTCTTTGCCTGAGGAATGCGCTTCCCACCCCTGTTGCTACTTCGTCACATCTGCCCCCTCTTTAAGAGCCTACTCAAAGCCCAGAGCCTGTGTGGACCGCTTCCCTTCCCCGGGCCCTGGCAGCACTCCTGTGGGTCCCAGCTCTTCCCTCCCAGGTAGATGTGGCCAGGGTCTCCGCCTCTCCTGGTTGAATGTCCCCTGTGACCAGCCTGGCTCTTAACTTGTCTTAGTAGCTCTTGAAGCGCCTCAAGCCTCCTGGCTTCTTTTCAAGCTAACATTTGTTGAGCACTCACAGTAAGCCAGGCACCATTCTAAGCCATTTACAGGAACCCACTCCACCAGTCCTCGGTCCTCTGGTTCATCTCCACCTGCAGCCAGGGGTCAGGCACTCAGTGTTGGCCTGGCAGAGAAGGGGCCCCTTCTGCTGTGTAGTAACCCTGGGCCTGTTAATCCTACCCTCTCCTCTTCCCTCAAACCCTCACTCAAGTTAAGTTAACCTCCTTGCTCTCCTGCCAACAGCGCCGTGCCCTAGCTACTCTGCTGCTAAAAGATAGACCATACCTATAAAGCTTTTAATGGAGGAAACTACTTCATCACGAGGCTTAGGGCAAGTGGTAAGAAAACAAGAGTCCTGGAGAAAGGGCATTCTAAAGAAGAGTGCCCACCGAAATCAGTCCCACAGCACGGGGGAGGAAGAACCCCTCGCTGAGCCCCTAGATCACCTCAGGATGACAACCTGATGGGAGAAGCAGGGCTGCTCTTGAGGTGCAGAGTTAGACACGTGGATTTAGGCGTCAGATAGCCCTGGTTTATGTCCCTGCTTTGCCACCACTTAGCCATGTGAGCGTGGCACTTAGTGTCTCTTAGCCTCAGTTTCCTCATCTGTAAAGCAGGAGTGTAATTCTAATAGCTCACATCTCATATGTTTCTGTGAGAATTCCATGAGGCAATCCATATATGAGGCACTTTGGGTGGTTCATCAGGGGAGATTTAATACCAGAGATTACTAAGGTTTTGGACTGGCTATTGGAGCAAAACTGGGGAGTTACTCAGAGAGAGATTAGTAACCGCAGGAAGACCCTACCCACTGGGACAGGACAAGCAAAAAGGGAGGTGGAGTGACTCATGCTGACAAGCACTGTCTCATGAGGCCACGGAACGTGCCACTGCTGTCCCTGCTACTGGGGCCAGCACTGCTGCCACGATGAGGAAGCCAGGAGTTTGTGCCCTCATGGAGGCTGCCAGAGCCCAACAGACCAGTTACAGTGGCCTCTGGTCACCTTCTATCGCCTGCTGCTGCTGCCCCCTGGACCAGAGATTTAAGTAATTAGTTAAAAATATTGATATAATGACTTCTCTCTTGTCCCTGTTTCTCAGGATTCTGTGTTTCCCAATGACGGAACCTAACCCAAGCTGGCAAGGAAGTCTGGGAAATGTCATTTCCAGCCTTCCCAACCCCGGATACAGAGGAGAAAACAGAAGAGTGAGGATGGACCTAAGAACCAAGTCAGAAATCACCAACATGAGCAGTTGCACAATTTAAGCACTTTATTATGTTGATCGTCATCATCATTTTTGTTGTTATTACTTCTGCAGCCAACAAGCAGTGGGACCTCAGTCAAGTTATTTCACCTCTCCAGGCTTTCATTTCTTTATCTTTAAAGTGAAAGGGTTGGACTGACTAAGTCCTCGGTCCCTTCCAACAAATAATTTTCTTCTTCCCCTCATTAATCCCATCAACAAACACTTGCTGAGCCCCAAGTGTAAGCTGGGCACGAACGAAAAATCAGCAAGATCAGGTTTGTATGAAAGGTCACTGTCTAGTGACAGAGACAAATGAGTAATTGAGCTCCTTAGTAAATGTGAGCTCATCCAGCGAGAGTGAAACGAACTGACTCCCAGTCCAGTGCTCTTTCCTGTTCCAGAAAGTTCCATAGTCAGGGAGAATTTCTCCTTCTGGCTCTGGGTGTGCACATAACAGATGGTCCCTTTCTCCAATAAGCTCTGTCTCCCATTGTCCATCATCTACCTCCTCCCCTACCTGGGCCTCAATATCAACTTGTCAAGGATGTAGCAGGGAGGTGAGCTGCAGAGTGGGTCGTCAGCGCGGGGCCCTGGCCGACAGCTGCAGGGCATTCAAGGTAATAAGGGATGTAAAAATATGAATGCTCTGGGTCTCCATGATTTCCCTGTTTGCCCAATCTGTCATCATGCTACCCACGGATTTCCCACTATTGCTCATGACCCTAATGTGGAGTGGGAGACCCTGTGTATTCCATTTCTTACTGCTGCTCATTCTGATTGCATTTCAAATATTGCCGTGGAAACGTCAATTCCCCAAGCCAAGAAGACCCCCGTTTCCCAGAAGCTACTTCTACAAACTCTAGAATATAGATGAGCTTGGCCCAATCACGCGCTGCATCTCGACCCAGCGGATTTGCAGCACACCTGCATTGGAGGTAAATCGATTGGTGCTTCTTAATCCCAGCAAGTACCAGGCAGGTTCTCCCCTACTCATTGAAGCTTAGTAGTAACATGCCCTTCACTGTAAAGAGAATTTTTTGTCCTCTCACTTGGGACTAAAGGTCAAAGTTTAAATCTATATTTAATGCCATTTTCTGAAAACTGGATTTGTGATTCCCTTTATGTTGGTATTACATATCTTAAGGGATTTCAAGGGGAGAAATCTGGGAAGCCCAGTTTCTGAGAATGACCTTTACTTTAAATGTGTAAATAGGATGGAGCTTGTGTTTCTGCTTTTTAAACCTTCTAATTGTGTTTCCAAAGATGGTTCTGGAAACCATGGGCTGTGCTGAGTGGTTACACAGAAGCCACTTTGAAAAGAAGAGACTGATTTTTGTCTTATACAGATGAAAAGCTGAAGGTTAATGGCTCGTGCTCTGCTGGCCTGCTAGGGACAGTTTCTTGTGAAGCTTTGTACCTTGAGCTACGGTGATCCCACATTAGAATATGCAAATAGTACGGCCTTTAACTGCCTCGGAAAAAGGAAAGTTCAAATTTACTTAATTCCATTTTTCCTCTGAATTTTATAAAACATTATTGAAGTGGTATCAGAATATCATTCAGAATGTCAGTTTTAGAATATTTCAAATATTTACCTAAAGGTTTTTTAAGCGGCTGCTTTTACTGTCTGAATGTGGCACTAAAGACAGTTATAAAATTGACTTTCCTTGCACCTCATAAGCTCAAAGTTGCATGTTTAAAAGGTAGTGATAGGGATTTTTCAGTTTGCCAAGAGTCTCCAGGCATGATCGGATAGATTGATGATAGATAGACAGGTAGATAGATAGATAGGAAGAAATAATTGGAATATTTAATAAAGATCCCACGATAAGCTTCTTTTTAAAAAAAGATTGATCCTCATGCTATTACCACATAATCTCCAACACTCAGACTCCAAAAATTTTGCATTTGTTATTTTGAAACCAGATACGAATTGTCCTCCACAGTCGTCGTGGGGTCAGGTCACCCAAGATGGCTGTTCTCTTGCTCTCTGTACATCCCCTGCTCTGTCAGTGCCCTCTTCACCCGGCTCACCTGACTGACCTCCCCGCCAGCTAGTGATTTGTTCTACCTTTGAGATCAGGAACGTCTCCACCTGTTAGCTTATCAACGGGGCGGGGAGGGGCGTGCCCCTCTGTGGTCTCCCTGGTAACTGATGAGCCAAACCTGCGCTAACCCCCTCCCCCCCAGAGCGAGGACTGCCGCCATGTTCTGCCCGCTGTCTGCCTGCGGGCACGGTGAGGTGTCCTCCAGAGCCTTGCTTCAGACATGTAAGCTTCCCCGTCCATTAAAAACCATTCACGTCTGTCTCGGACGCCGGGCCCTGTCCCGGTCCAGGAGCTGGGCAAGCGCGGGGCTCGCAGGCCTGGGCGGCGCAGCCAGAACTTGTGGAGCAGCCAGGAGACGAGGAAACTCCGGTGAGCACGAGAGGTGGGGAAGGAAGGACGCGGGATGGAAAGTTCGGGAGTGGGGGGGGGGGCGTCCGACTAACATGTGGAGCCCAAAAGTTTCAGGGGTGACCCCCAAAAGTTGCAGAGGTAATCTTGGGGCGGCCTCCACTAGTATGTGGGGCCCTGTGGTGGCTGTCCTTGATGAACAGGGGCCGCCAAGGCAGTACAGAGGCCTCACGGACACCCCCGCGGCTGTTGGCGGACATGCTGGCCTCCATGACTGGGAGGAAGAAGCGCCGCGGCCGCGGGCTGGCCCGCGCTTTTTACCAAACTTTTTACGCTTTTTACGTTACGCCAGGCGGCGGCTGAGCTACTGCTGAGGCGGGGATTACTTAAATGCTGGTTCTTGTTCCTCTGGGAGTGAGGCATTGTGAATGTGACTGACTGGTACCTATTATTGTCTGTTGCTGCTATTCGTTTAAACTGAATTGGCTATTTAGAAACTGGGGGGAAAATCCTTGTCTTGACTATCTTGACGTTCTAAAACTGGTTTTTGCTTACGCGGTTAGAGGACGTTAGCTTTCTAGAAGGAATTGATATTTCTCTTCGTGTGCGTTTGAGATGTAAATGATCTACCTGGGCTCTCAGAAACTGTAATCCGCGAGAGTGAAGGGGGGGAAAGGAGGCCTTTTAAACTCTAGCAGGAAAACTGTGAGATCTGTGTCCGTGTAGATATATGTATGTCTGTGTGTGCCTTAGAAATATGATGTGTCTCTGCCTCCAAATGGCACAGCCAAGATTGGTTTGTGGATGAACTCTGTTTAATTGGCGTAAAAGAAATTAAGTGCGTACGTAAATTCTCGGAATTCGGTCTGGAAGCTGGGCAAGCACAGGACTCGCAGGCCTGCAGGGTGCAGCCCAACATTCGTATTGAAAGGGTGGCTTTGGAATTAGATTTTTCATTATTCAGCAGTGTAATAAAATCTGGCCCAAAGAGGTTCGCTCTCTGGGTTCTTCCAGACTGTTCTGCCCTCACACCCCACTGTCACTCCTACCACGGACTTGCCAGCCCATCTCTTGCCAGCTTACTCTGTACAACACCTATCCACGATGCCCTGTCAGGAGCTGCTTTTCCACACAGGAGGCCCAGGCAAGGGCAAAACTTGCCCACGTTCAGTTGAAAAGTGGCAGGACCGGGTTTCAACCCCTGGCCTGTCTGACCCAGAACCCATAGTTTCCCCTTGATTCTATTCTGTTCCCAAATGAAGTTCACTGGGCTCTCTGAAAAAAACAAAACAAAACAAACACTTTTATTTTAAGAGAGCCATTTCTTGTAGCATTTATTTTTTTACTTTGATCTATACCTATCCCTTGGGTGCCTCCTCCCAGCCCCCTGCTTCCTCCATCAGAAAGCAAACTCACAGACAGGTTATGGCAGAATTGGGCTGGTGTTGTAGCCACTTTCACAGCCAGATCAGATGTCTTTGTGGTCAGCGCTAAGCTAGCCAGATGAACCAAAGCTGACCATGTCTGGGGCAGGCTGGTTCACAGTTTACAGCCACAGGGAAATTACGTTTTCTGAGACGCATCTAAATATTCACTTTGTGATTGCCCCACACTTTCCCCTCCCTCCTGTGGTCATTGCTGCCTTAACAGTCCCCCTCCTGCCAGCAGCCAGCAACCCCTTAGGGATGCAGCCATTCGTTCTCCCTCCTCCATCCCTGCATCATTTTCTCCACTGGTCTTTGTTTCTCCATTCCTGCAAGCAGGCTCCTCCTATTGTCTCCCCACCTTCTGTCACTTTGGCCCCAGATAGCTGTCGCTGAAACCACTGTTGACCCTCTCCTTTCCAGAATGGCAGCTCCTCTCCGCCCTGCATCCTTTATATAACTGCGGCTTCCTTAGGCGAAGCTGATTAAACTCGCCTCCTCCACTGCCACAGTTCCTCAGCTTCTTCCCCGGGGCTTTGTGCTACCTCTGGCTTTCTTCTTACCTCTCCTGTGATCTTTTATCTTCTGTTCTCCCAGCTCCCTTCAATTCTCTCTCTGCACTTTGTTTCTGTCTGACCCCCTCTATCCCTTCACTTTTAACTGTAGCAGACTCCAGGGAATGTCTTTAAAAAAAAGAAGAAGAAAAAGAAGACCTGAAACACTATGGTCCCTCTCTTCCCTGCCATATCTCTCCCAACTCCTCCTTTCTCTTTTAAGGCAAGTTGCCACCATGTCAAACTAAAATAGAGTTTTATTGTTTTTGCCTGAGGCCCTTTTCTCTCTCATTCCCAAGTGCTAATCTCCAAGCCTAAAGTACCCTTAAGGTTTCTCAGATTGAGACCCTGTTTTCCTCTTTCCCGAAGAATCTCCAGAAGTCATTCTTCCACTTCCTTCTCAGCAGAAATGTGTTCGTTCAGGGTCTGTCTTGTACACGCTGGCTAATGAAATTCTTGACTTGCATGATGTAGCCCAAGACACAACCATGATGGCCATCTTGGATGGCTTGTATAATTGTAGACACATGAGAAGTGCCTTGTTCAGTGGCAGGCATGTAATAAATTTTGATGCCACATAGAACTAGGTAGGACTGTGGTCTCTGGAGTCAGGCAGATAAGGGTTCAAATCCTGTGAGATGCCTTAAAACCCCATTTCCTCTTCTGTGAAAGATAAGTAAGAATACCTGTTTTACATGTTTGATGTAAGTGACATGATGTGCACAAAAGTTGATCCAATAGTCTGGTACAAAATATCATTCAAAAACAATAGTTGTTACTAAACAGTATATAATAGACAAGGAACAAATTCCACGTGACAGGATTGTAGCTGCTTACAGCTTAATTTCTGACTCTAATTAAAAATAAATCTGATTATTTCTAGGTTTAATTGACCGGAAGTGGTTCCCATTATTTTGTAGGCCAATTGCTAATTCTTGCCTGTAATAACACATTTTGGGTCTGAACAGTTCACTGTGAATCAGGCAGCCTCCCAGCTATGTCTAAAAATCCCTAAATTCACCTCTTCACTCTCTATTGGCATCCATTGTCTAAGAGCTTTGAGGTACCTAGGGATCTCTTGGGGGGACACATTTATGCCTTGAAAAAGAATTCTTTTTGACCTACTTGACCCCCAGCCCAGCTCTACAAATTAAATGTTGCTTAAGGGCAATCACAGAAAGGCAGGGACACAATTCTTCCACAGAGGTTGTACTTTTGCAACTCTTTTAATTAAATTGGCCAGTAAATTCAATAAGCATTTTAAAGAAGGATCAATTCAATCAAAGCAAAAACAAGGAGTTCAGTATAGCCTCAGATTTTGCCCCCCCCTTTTTTGTTTATTTGTGGATAAACCAGAATTGCACCTGAGACAAAATGGTTGAATGTGGAGTCCGTCAGCTTACTTTCAAGCACTTTCAAAGAAGTTGCCTTGACCAAAGGGCTAAGAAGTCGGCATTTCACTATCTTCTCAACAGATGATAATTTTTTTCGTCAACCCTGTAAAGTCAAAGTCTGAAGCCACAGTGTTAGCCATTGTTCCTCTAAGAAGAAAAGGGAGCCCGGTGCTGCTGCCAGAACCAAGAACCTTGGAGCTCTTGGTTCTGTTGTAAGATCAGTGCTCTGTGAAGATGCTTGGTTTCCTGTCCCTCAACTTTGGCATCTATGAAATAGTAGTGAGTGGTGTCTAGAATGGCCAGAGACTCAGGCAGAAACAGGCATCAGTGAGGCTGTTATGTCAAGTAATTCGGTGAGACTCTTGGATAAAGAATGACCAGGGGTTACATACATGCCTTCCCACCTCCAGAGTTAACAAATCTGTTATGTTAACGCATACTAAAAATTAAAGAATAGCGGGAAGTCCAAAGTTTATTTGCAGAAAAGGCTTGAAGTACAGCCAGTTTAGAAATGTCCCTCTGAGCTTCTGGCCTCATCCTACTTGCTTGTCTAACTCAGGCACTAGCCTCAGTGTGTGATGGGGCCCTGGGCCTGCAGTCTTGGAGTCACTCACTCCATGCTGCCCCCTCCTCCGATTTGTGCCATGGCCTCCAATCGTATTTCACAGTAAAAGATCACAAGGCTGACTTTTTGCTACTCAGTCTCAAACATGCCCTAATGTTAACACTTAGAAGTTACAAAAGGGTGTTATTTCTATTCAGTGCTATTCCACTATGCATATAAGTGGGTCATTTATGTTGCAAGAATACATACACACACATCACGCCTCCCCCCACACTCCCTGACTCCATAAAACCACTTTCTTTTGAATGAGGGAATAAGATGTCTCCAAAAGTATTTTGGGTTTTTTTTTCCTTAATTGACATTTTTGTGAAGAAAGTTATGTCCTATGTGCCCTACCCCCAGATGATCTCATCCAGTGAGCTGTCCTGTAGAGACAGCCCTTCCCAGACACCCTCCCACACCTCACCCCATCCCATCTGAAAAAATGAAGGTACATGTTCTTGACTTAGGGGAATGAAAAAGGTTCAAGCAGCCCCCTTTCGCTCCGAGAAGGCACCTGGCCTTCCAGCTTCCCAAACCTCATCCATACTCTCCTGAATGTTTTTCTCTGTCCTATTTCTGAAAAGAGCCAATTCGGAACATGTGTGACACTGGTCTCCAGGGAGTAGCCTGCTCTCACTAGTGAACCCAACTAGGGGGGAAGCCAGACAAGGTCACGTCCCCCTGACCCCCTTAGTATAACCAAGCCAGCAGTCAGTTTGGAATGTCTGAGGAAGGAGGCTCTGGCAGCCGATCTAATTGCACAACCCCACAACTCCTCTGGGCCGTGAGTCACCCGACCCCCATGAGCCCACAGCACTGTGATGCCCACAGCCGTGGTCCGGCTGCTGACATGCCTGCCTAGCCCATTTCCCTCTGCGTCCAGGCAGGCAGCATTGCACTTTTCTCTGTGTCCCTCTGTGCCTAGCACCATGCCTGACACTTTGGAAGCCCTCACTAATTGTCAGATGAATGAACACAGATAAAATACTGACTGACAATTAACCCACTTCAAAGGATGGAGAACTCTATTTCTGGAAACTGTATTGAAGTAATTGGTTCACAGATTAAATCACTAAAGTGCTTACTGAACAAATGAGTTTAGTGACTTTCTTGGCACACTTCATAAACAAGTGACACATCTTTGACCAGTGACCAGAAATGTGAGTTTACCCATCAGCGTTGATTTAGACCCATCTACATGCCCAGGACTGATCAACAGATGGGAGAGGGGAAGAGGGAAAGGGAGACCCTGGCCCTGTCTTCAAGCATCTTAATCCTGATGAAGAGGGGCAGATTCAGAAAACGCTTTGCAGAATCCTTCTGACATCCCAAGCTGGCCCCAGGGCCCTGGACGAGCTGGCTGGGATTTAGACATTGCTCAGCCAGCCAGATTGGTTCCAGTCACAATGTCTCAAGAGCACATCATGTCACAACGTGCTGTGGTCACATCGCTAAAACATCCAGACGGGCATTCAGCCATGATGAAGCCAAACCAGTGTCTGGGGAGATGAGTGGTTCTGGTGTCATCCCAAGTCTGAAAGCAGGAAAGGCAAGGGGAGAACTTCACTGGACACACCAACTGGAAAAGAGAGGGAGACTGGCCACACTCTTCCCTCTGAGCTGTGGCCATTTCCTCTTATCTGTCTAGATTTCCTAACCTTCTCTTTTTAAGGAAATGTGGCTAACTTTTTTTTGTTGTTGTTAACTCAATACCTATTTCTCACTCCCTTTTCTTTCACATGCTTCCACTCTAGCAGCTAGAAAAGCTAACGTGATTTCTCTCAGCCTGCCTAGTAAGGAAGGATGGCCATTTGATCTCTGTGGGCAAGAGTTGAAATTCTGCTAGGGGCTTCTGAGAATGTTTTGCTTTCCTGGCACCACTCCTCTCCAACCCCCACTTTCTGTCTTGAATATAGACAGTGACGCCTCACGTTGGGCAGTCTTCTTGTGGACGTGAGAGAAAGATCAAGATAAAAACAGAGAAATGAGTCCTGACATCACTGAGCCACCAAAACAATCCTCTGACTTCTTGAGGAAAAAAATCCACTTTTGTGGATTAGGCCACTGTTTTGTTTAAGCCACTGTTAGGTTTTCTGTTACTTGCAGCTAAACATATTCCTAAATTTAAACATATTTAAATTTGTTTTTTCAACTTTCCATGAGGAATAATCAACAAAACACCAAAAGCAAACAACAAATAGGAGAGAGGAAAGTGGTAGGAGAGAGGAAAGTGGTAGCGGAGAGGCTGGTATCCTGGGACCCACAAAGGCGTTTGTGAAAGAAGAGCCCATGGTGGCTGGCTGTGGACGCACATGGGGACCCTTGTCTTGTTTCTCAAATAATACACCTTGGAAGCTTTGAAAATAATGTTTTTAATAATAAAATCTCAATAAGCTGACTAACTGTCCTCAAGGATCTAAGTAAAACTCTCTAGTAGTTGGCCAAGCTCACATCATTGATGACTAGTTTGGACCAATGCTTTCAGGTATTAGAAAGCTCTTTCACATGCATCGTCTGGTATGATCACCACAACCTTCATCAGCTCCATGGATACAAATGGGCAGAGGTGTGCCTGCTCTGTTATTAGTCACTGCATGTGAAATATATGCTGGTTTTATGCTTGTAAACACTTACAGTAGTCATTATTGTGTGCTGGTCCAAAGTACCATTACTCGTAATAGCCGAAAAGCAGAAACAACCCAAATGTCCATCAACTAATGAGTGGATTTTAAAAATGTAGTATTTCATACCATGGGGTTTTTGGCCATAAAAAAGTATTTAAGAACTGATACATACTACCTCATGGATAAACTTTGAAAAACCATGCCCATTGAAAGAAACCAGACACAAAAGGCGTAATATATGTCTCCATTTATTCTGTTTTTAGGTTCCATTTATATGAAACTTCCAGAATCCATAGAGACAGGAGGTAGATTAAGGGTTACCAGGAACAGGGCAAAGAGAAGATTGGGAAGTAATGCTCCTAGGTACAGGGTTTCTTTTCGAGGTAGTAAAGTTAGATAGTGATGATTGTTGTACAAGTCTGGGACTACACTAAAAATCATTGAGTTGCACACTTTAAAGGGGTGATTTTATGGCATATAAATTATATCTCAATAAAACTGTCATCATCTATATCT